AACAGCTGGTTACTGGAGGGGGAGGGATGCCATCTGGGTAACAGCCATAGGAGGCTGGGTCCCACATGCAACACTCCCCTATAAGGGTCAAAGTTCCCAAAGAATTAAAGAGTGTCTTATTGAAGTCAGAAATCCCAAATTTGAGGGGGGGCCCCATCACTATCTATCTATATGAGTGCCTTCTTCCATATGTTTCTGTTAGTTTTATTTCTGGCAAGAACAGTTTTGATGGAAAACAGTGGTACTGGAACGTAGCCCTTTCTCAGGGCTCTTTACCCTTAGCATCACCTTTTAAAAAAAAATTGAGATATAATTGACCTATATACATTGTATTAGTTTTAGATGTACAACATAATGATTTGATATATATAAATGTTGCACCCTAGTACCATCTTAAATGTTTCTTTGAATCAAATGGACAGTAAAATTCCTCTGCCATGCAGAACTTACCTTTTCAAAGTTGTGTACATTTCCTTGAAATATCTTCACACACCTCTCTTTGGGAGCAAACGGCCGGACATCCCAGACCCGCACTGTGAATTCAAACAAAGCAAAACAATTATCAACCAGGGGCCTCCTGAGAACCCAGCTGAAATCAGTATCATGTCAATGACAGATGTTATTTCCTGGGTAAAGAAGGACCACCATAGTATTCTGCTACCTGATAAGGCTTTTCTCTTTTTCTAATGGGAATGAAATGCAGCCGAGTTCCATTAACAGGCACTAAGGGCACAGAGGAAAACTTGAGAGCGGAGGAAGGGAAAATGTCAAACACACTGCTGGAGATTTGCAAAAGGAAGCAGCTGGGTGTGATACTGATTTCAACAAAACATTTTGTAAATGATTCTTCTGCCAACCCCAAGAGTCACATCTGGCAAAGTTTCAGTATGACAATCTAAATACCACTGACTACTGTGATAATCTATAAAAACCAAACTTGTGACTACCTTTTCTAATTTAGCTCATAGGGGTACCTTACAGTTAAGTTGGGAACAAGGTCAAATATATATATACATATATATATGTATGTGTGTGTGTGTGTGTGTATATATACATATATATATAAATATAAAAACACTGTACCAAGAATTAGAAAAAGTGAAATTTGATCCCAATTCTATTATATATATGGGGGATATCAGGAAAAGAACAAGGTTCCTTGTGTTTTGGTCTCCTTTGTAAAATGAGAATATCACTGTTCTTTTTTTAAAAAATAAGAATATTTTAAGAAACAAATAAGATGACATATGTGAAAGGGCTCTAAAAGATTGGTGGCAATAAACAAAAATAAAGAATTCGTAATTTTATTATATAACCATAACAAGAAATTCTTATTTTTACTTTAATAACCATTTATGGATCTCATCTTTCCTTACTATGAACAATGTTAGAATTAGACAACAGCAAGTCTACTGAAATAGGATGTAAACACTCACAGTAAGCAGTGGCTACAGCTATTGTAAACTAAAGCTAAACCTACAGTGGAATTTGAGTGATGTCATTTTATTTGAATGTGAAAAAAAACCTTTGAAGTCAGACAGGCATAAAAAGGTGAAGCTATGCATGGAAGTTTGCTATTGAGCTGAGAATACAGTCAGAAGGTAAGCCTGTTCATTCATTCAACAATTATTAATTGAGCACCCACTGAGTGTGAGGCACTGTTTTTGTTACAAGATGTCAGTGAAAACCTTTTGGTTTCTGACGAGTCTATGAACCAGAGGGGTATTTCCAATCTCTCCCAATATTAAGCATATAATCCAACAAGCCATCTTTCTTTATTGCCATAGTAAACCCATTCTCCCACCCAACAACTCAAAAACAAGCAAAGAAAGGACAAGAGTGTGTTTGTGTAAATCCAGGATAATAAGGATCTCTTATCACATCAATGCTTTGGAGTGGGGAGGACAGACATACTGGCAGAAAAAGCACAACTGAGATATCAATGGGTTTATTGATCATCTGAGCTTGTTAGTTACTCTTTCAAAATGCTTGAGAACTGCCTTGGATGGATCTCCAGACTCTCATCATTCTCAACAAACTAATCACTAGGAGTGTTTTGGATCCTGCTCGGATCCATAGCCTTGCATGCACAGCATACAAGAGCTGAAATGGGCCTTAAAGGAAAGTCCACTCTTCTTACATTATCAGTGTAGAAACTGATGCCCAGAGAGGAGAAATGCTATATGCAAAGTTGCTCAGGGATTAGATGGAAGATCAAGGACTAGAATCCTGGCTTCCTGACCATCTCTTCTAAAGCTTTTCTATTACAACCTGTTTTCCTAATTGCCCTGGTGGATACCTGCAAGCCATCCTTGACTTTTTCCTTGAACTCTTTTATCCCAGCACACATTTCTAGCACCTAGTGACCATTTTCTTTAGGGTCCACAGGGCACTGACAGAGCTTTCTTTTCCAAAGTTACCTGTATTGTCCATTGCATTGGATAAGAGATAAGAGCCTTCAGAACTTAAACTCAGGCCAGTCACTGAATCTGCGTGGCCTCTCATTGTGTAGGTCAGCTTGTTTTGGCGCAGGTCCCAGACCTGCAAAACAAAGTAAGAAGGCACTCCCAGAAATCAAATTGTGAACAGCAAAGAAATAGAGTTACTAAAGAGTCAACTGCCTGGGAAAATTGGTATCCCTTCTTAATCTGCCTCTGGGCCAAGTATTACTTGACCACAAAATACAGGATTTCTATCAAAGAAGAAAAAACTCTTTTGTCTTTCTAAAAGAAGTGTCAAAGTTACTATGTTAGACTAGAAAAATATAATGAATGTCAAATACTAAGGTAAAGTTTAACAAAAAGAAATAGAATCTGAAGAGATTATTTTCAACCCATAACAAAATATATTAGGAATTTAAAAACTAAGTAGTATTTAAAATGCTTAAACTATGATTCTTAGCAACTAAAAATAAACTATTAGAACCATATGAAAACAAAGAAACAAATCATTTGAAAAGGCATGATTGCATGTAAAATGTATACAGCAAGGTAATATGCAAAACCATGCCTTAAAACTTCATTGAATGTCATAATATGCATATATACATACATACACACTACAGAAAAGCATATTTATTAAAAGAAAAATAAATTGTACACTCACTGTTGCCAGGGTAGGAAAGGTAAGAGAAATGGTTCAGCTGAAAATGACATAGTGTCAAACAGGAAAAAGAAACTGTTTATTAAATTATGGCTGATAAACACATTGCAACACTACAAGCTCTCATGCTAGAGATCGAATAGCAGAGTGGGAAGAGTGAGGATTTAGGGTCAGACTGAACCCAGTCATTGCAACTCAAAAGTTATATGTTATTGGGCCACTAACCCTCTCTTAGACTGTTTCTGGTCTGTAAGATGGGGATAACATTTACCTCTTATGGCTATTGTGAGGATTACTGATGGAATGCTTAGCAAGTGCCTGGTACACAGCAGGCCCTCAACAATTGGTAGCTATTACTAACTACCTAACTTTCTAAAAATATTCTGATGATCAAATGTAGAAATGTTTATAAAATAAGCTATTATTAAGCAAATAAGTAAAATACAAAACAGTATTTATATTTACATAGACTGCAACTACGTAAAAAATGTATTAAAGGCAATAAAAATGGTCTGGAATGTCACATGGAAAAAGAACAGCAATTTTGTTAAGGTCATTGTTATTATATAAAATTTCATCCGAATTTGATTTAATATTGCCACGTACTTTTCCTAAATGAAAAAAAGAAAAATTTGCTGTCCCTTTAAGCAAGGCATGTTCCTCATCTAGAAATGAGTTCGGTGTTGTTATGTCAAAGCAATACATAAGGCACATAACTCCACTTTTTCCATCAATAACTCATTCATGTGTGGAACCCAACACACTTTATATACAATCATTTTTGTGTCAGGATGTTTGCTGCCTCAATAATCAGGAAAGCCTGAAGTGGTTGACATTTTTTTTGTTCAAGCCATTGTTCCTCCTCTTCAGAGAAGGCATTGTTGAAATCTTTAGCTTTCTAGGAGAGAATGCAATTCATCATCCCCCACAGCATTTGGGTGCTATTTCTAGACTTTCCTCTTTGAGGCCAGCACACATTGTTTTGCAGAGCCAAAATGCATCTGGGATTTGCCAAAGGAAGAGTGAGCAGGGCACTAATTTAAGCAAAGTCATTTTGCAGATGTCCTAATCAGCTGTTCAGTGAATGTCTGGGCATCTGTTAGTGGCAGGCACTGTTGGAGATAAAAAAGACAACCCTGCTCTCAAGGAGCTTTCAGTCCAGTAGGGAGTAAACAAGTGATGAGAGGTCTGTACAAGGTGCAACAGCAAAGATGGCAGAGGGTTTAATGCTCCTGTGATACAGAGATGAGAGTAAGGGGAGGTTTCATAGAGAATAAAGCACTTGAGCGGGGTATGAAGAAGAAAGAGGTATTTTTTCATTCAGACAAAGTAGAAGGGTATTCCCAGGCAAAGAGAATGTATGAAAGCAGAGAGGCATGAAAAAACTGCTGGGTTGTAGGGAATGGGCAAAGAGAGGCAACAGACAATGCGTGAGCAGTAGGCAAGCAGAGGCCAGCTCATGAAAGGTTTTGAATGCCTAGCTTGGACTTTTTAAATCTCCCTCACTGGGGAGCCACAGAAGGGTTCAGAGTAGTGGAATGGGTTGTTCAGATTCTAGAAAGGTCCTTCTGGCCCAGATAATTGGAAAGGATGAGAGCTGAGGCAGAAGAATCAATGAGGATCTATTCTATCCCTTTACCCACTACATTAAAAAGAAAAAAAGTCGACTAAACTCCCATTTTAACCGGAGCTCAGAATTATAACAAATGTCAAAGAACTGCCAGCCAGACCTTCAAGTCATCAAGCAGAAGAGCATTTTCTTCTTTTATTAATCTTCCTCTGATTCCCCAATCCTATGCCCAGGAAGAAAATCCCAAGAGAAACATATTTGCTCAGAAACATACACAGAATTTGCTCACCTTAGATTGACTTTTTAAATTTATTTACTTATTTATTTATTGGAGAGCGTGAACGCAGTCCCCCACTACCACAAATTATGCAGTCGAGTTTCCCACATTTAGGGAAATCGCAGAGATCAGCACATCTGTAGTACAATGGATAAGTCTCGCCCTGAGAAAACCACCTTTGTGATCACGGTATCTCCCCTGCCAGGTAAGTATCACCTTAGATTTTGAAGAGGTTTCCATTCCCTCTTTGTTTCCCCCTTCTTAGAATAGGCAGTGCTATCTGAGACTGAGAAGCAAACAAAAACCAGGCTCTTCAGGAGCACTTCCTAATGTAGTAAGGCAGTGTAGGAATTTGTCAAGCAAGTGCTCAAGACTGGTAAGTCTCTGACTGCTTAAAAGGTGTTTGTTAATTGACTAGAGGCAATGGTAGAGTGCAAGATTATTGGCCGTCTGGAGACAGAGTTCTGGTCCTGGCTCAATCGCTGAGTGAGTGACTACATGATCTTAGCCCAATCACTTAACCTCCTAGTGTTTTGCTTTAGTGATCTGTAAAATAAAAGGGATAACGAGATGTTTAAGGTCCCTTTCAGGTTTGACATTCTCTGTGTGTTTCTGATGGAAAAGGAGCCTCTCTTTTGCATTTTTAAATTTACGAGGGCCGAAGGACAACTGTCTTTCTGGATCCAAGGGCAGTTACTCACCCCTAAGCATGTCAGAATAGGGTGTTGTTAAATAAAGAGAAGACAAATTCTATAGTCTCACATCTCTCCAGCACACCCCTTAGTCATACAGGAGCAAAATGAAGTCAAACAACCATAGCAACCTGATATCAAATACTGTCTTTGTTAATTGCTATCACCAACACTATTTGCCAACCTGTATCCAAAATATGAAACAGCCTTGTATTTGTTAACACATTAATCTTCATCTAGAAATCTATTCTATAAAAGTAATTAAATATGGAGTTTAACACACAAATATGTCCAGGACAGCATAACTTGTGATAGTGATACATATGAAACAGCCTAAATGTCCAGTATATGATTGTTGATTACTAAATAATTGATTTTTCTAATAATAAAAGAAAAATGATGATGATGGCAGCTGACATATACTGAACATTTACTATGTAACTGCCATGTTGCAAAGAATATTATATTTTTTACCTCACTGAATCCATGCAAGAATTTTATGAAGACAACTGACTATTCCCATTTAGAGATAAGATATGGAAACTCAGAGAGGTTAAACAATTTTAAGATCACATAGCTAGCAAATTAAGTGGCAGAATCAGAAAAAGGATCCTAAGTTCTGGGATGTTATGCATAGCCCAGTAGCTACTGTTAACAATACTTACTGAATATCTGAAAGTTGCTAAGAGAATAGATCTTAAATGTTCTTATCACAAGAAAAAAAAAAGTAACAATATGAGGTGATGGATGTTAACTAGACATCTTATGGTAATCATTTTGCAGTATATACATATATCAAATCATATGATGTAAATCTAAAACTAATACAATTTTCTATACCAATTATACCTCAATAAAACTAGAGAAAAAAAGAAACAGAAAAATAATCCTAACTACATTGCTAAGAAGAAAGTAAGAGCGATATATTGGAGAGCAACTAGACTGAGGGCCTAGTTTCATCTAAGAAATCGTTTCTAAAGAGATGTCTGAGCTGAGCTTTGAAGACTAAACTAGCCATAGCAATGTGTACGGTGGGGGGGCTCCAGACAAAAGACTAGATATATGTTACTAAGTGAAAAGAGCAACATGTAAGATTTTATCCAAAGTGTGAACATTAAGATGTTTACATACAAAACACTATGGCACAGAAAAAGACTGGGAGGAAATATACTGAAATATCAAGAGTGACTAAATTTGGATGCTAAGACTGCAAGTGATTTTTTTCCCCCTATTCTTACATTTTCTAAATTTTCTTCAATGAACAAATGATCGTTTTTATTAATAAAAATATTTAAATTATAATAAATAATTTAATCTCATTTTAATAATTTTATTCCTGATAAAGTTGTTTTTATTAAATATACATTTGAGTGCAATTTTTGTATTTCTGCAAAACTTTCAAGGTAAATAAGTAGTCAAATCAGGAAAGTCTACCTTGATTTTTAATTTGGAAAATAAGATATACTGTAAATAGCGTACAGAGTTTCCAATGCTGACAAGAGAATGCAATGATCCTGACCAAGTACCACAATAAGAATGTCCCAGTTTTGGGAATACTCTGCACTTCTAGTTAAAAAAATTCCTTGAAAATGAGGCACTGAAAGAAAAATTCTAATGTTTGTGAACCGGATAGACTTTTTAGTTTAGAAAGATAAAGACTACAAGGCTGTGATGTAAACTTATTAACTGCCATACTCATGGGACTATAGTTACACATTCCTCAAATCTGAGATAAGTTCAGATTTCAAAACAAAATTGGTATGTATCTACAGACAAAGGCTGGGATTAGCTACCTGAAGAAATAATCTAACCTAAGAGAAGGTATAGCATACAGCGTGTGTCTGAGAAGATACGGAAAGCTTTCAAAACAAAAAAGGGACTCAGTCCTTTCAGGACTATGGAACAACTGGATACATTTGTTTATAGAAGGCCCTGAAACAGTATAGACAAAGAGCACGAAATAAGCCACACAATTTGTGGCAAGAAGACTTTACTAGCACAAGAATATTATTCTTAGGCTACTATCCCCACAGTAGAGATGAGAGGATCAAATTCTCATAGTTTAAATTTAAGAAGCCAGTCTCAAAAAGTTACCTACCGTAAGATTCCATTTATATGATGTTCTAGAATAGGAACTACAGGACAAAGAACAGATTAATGGTTGGGAGGGATTAGGTTGGGTAGAACGTTTGACCCAGAGGAGTACTATGAAGTTTACTGGGGTGATGGAAATTGCTCTGTACAGTCTGTGGTAGCTACATGAATCTACACAAGCATTAAAATTCATAGAAATTAAAATTAAAAATTAATTTCATTGTATGTAAATTTAATACTAACAACAACTTAAAAGTATGGAAATTATCATAGCTTAGTGACACTAATCCACTTTCATACATATTAGAAGCCCTCTAGTGATTCTAATGATAGTGGGCTCCCAAACTTCACTCAGGGAAATAACGCATTAGCTATTAAGATGATCTAATTAGGAGGAGGGATAAATTGGGAATTTGGGATTAACAGATACACACTACTATACATAAAATAGACAAACAACAAGGACCTAATCTACAGCCCGGGGGACTATATTCAATATCCTATAATAACCTATAATAGAAAAGAATCTGAAAAAGAATATATAATAATCACTTTAACATCTGAGACACTCTAAATCAACTATACTTCAATTAAAAAAAAATCTAATTAAGCCCTCATGTTCTGAATGCACATTTCCCAAATAGTTATAGGGCAGAAAGGGATATGAAACTGAATTTTGGAAATGGTGATTTCTGAAGTACTTATAAGACATCCAAGTGGGGGATGCTGAGTAGCTGGTTGTATATGTGGATGTAGAGATGTAGCTCTAGGCTGAGAACACAGAATCACCAGCAACAGAGATGACAATTAAAGTCACAGAACTATATGAGAATTGTCCACGGAAAGGTATGAAGTAAGAAGAGCACCAGTTCACAGAGAAAAAAAAATGTGACAATGAATATGTATGTTCAGGTGTAACTGAAAAATTGTGCTCTACATTGGAATTTGACATAACATCGTAAAATGACTATAGCTCAATAAAAAAATGTTAAAAAAAAAAAGAGCACCAAGGAAAGAACCCTGGGGAATAATGACATTTAAAGAATACACAGAATAGCTTGCAGAGGTATCTGAGGAAGGATATGCCTGATGGAAGGGGTAGGACAGTACATTGTCATAGCCAGTTTAACAAACAAAAAAAAACTAAAAGGATCTACTGGATTTAGTAACAGAGAGATCACTGATGACCTTGAAGAGAATAAAACAATGGAGGCAGAAGCCAGACTGCTGAGGAGTGATCATGAGATGGACTTGAGAAATGAAAGGAGGGTGAGGAATTAAAGACAGTAAGTGGAGAAAATCTTCAGGGGATTTCTCACAGGTATTAAGAGTATGACTCTGGAACCAAACTCTGGGTTTGGAACTGAGGTTTCATCACTTATTAGCTGTGTAACATTGGGTTAAGTTGTTGTGCCTCTCTTAGCTCAGTTTCTTCATCAGTAAAATGGCATTAATAGCACTTATTTCATAGGGTTGTTGTGAAGTTTAAATGAATTAATAAAGTAAAGTTCTAAGAACAATGCCTGACACAAAGTTAAGTGTTAGATGATGATGATGGTAACACTATTATTATTAAAACCACCATCACTGTCTTTCAAGAAGTTTGGCTGTAAAGGGGAAGACTGACAGGACAGTAATAAGAAAATGTGGAATAGAAGACCCCTTTCCCCACCAAGAGAAAATCTGGACATGATGAAATGCTAATGAGAAGAAAGCAGAAGAGGAGGTTGAAAACATAGGATCTGGGAAAATTGATGGCACAAGGTAGAGATAGGAAAAAAGAGTTGAAATCCTTTCATTTTAAGGGACCACCCTTAGACAAAAGCAAGGACATTTCACCCATAGTAACAGCAAAGGAGGCAAGGAGGGATGGCAATACAGTACAATTTCTAGGTAGAGACAACATAAGAAGTTGAGTATTTACCCAGTTATTACTCTCATGACAAAGTAGAAGGTAAAGTCAAAGTCTTTGAAATACCTAAGGAAGCCAATAAGCAAAAGCAGACACAAACTGTATCACCTCCCTCTGCCCCTACCCTCAAACATTTCATACTTCATAGCACTTGCTATGTCCAGAAACTCTGCTAGGTGCTCTAATGCATTTGGCTCATTTAATCCCCATGACAACCCTATGAGGTAGATATTATTATTACCCCTGCTACACACACAAGAAAACAGAGGCTGAAAGAAGTAAGAACTAGCTTGAAGTCACAAAAAACGAGAAAATGTTGGAACTGAGATTAGACCCCAAGTCAGTTATTTGAAAGCTTGAGCGACACTGTACTGCCACATAGTCTACTGCTTCTTTCTCTAACATCATTACCTCCTCATATTCTTAGCTATGGACTCCCCCAAAGTTTCTTTCCATATTCTCAAAAAGAAAGACACAATGAGAGATTAGGGTACAGAATCACAAACTGATTCACT